GTAGCTCAGGTTTCAACAACGTGTCTTGCAAGAAAATCGTGGTGAACGTGCGCCACAGGGGGGGACAGTTGCACCCTGCAGCCCCGAGCTTGGGTCAAATTGCACCAACAGCCACACGACACAACGGCACATCTGCATCGTCACAGGCGCGCAGTTGCGCCGGCTGATTAGTTTATTCTCAACCCGCCATCCTGGAAGATTCACCATACGCGAGGTCACTACTCACGCCTTACTCGCATTCCAACACATACTATAGGGAGGACTTGCAACATAAGCGTCTCGCCAGCAAAATATCATTCAGGACGCCCAACACATTGGAATGGCTTGTACAAAATTGTCCAGATCACTTTTGCTTTAGAAGGTCTATAGATAGACAGCAGGTTGTTTCTTTAAGTAGTTTTTCCATGTGTGGACAGTCATTTCCCAATAATCTGTATGACTTTCAACCATGTATTTTGACACATGTACCTAGTATTGAATGTTATAGATTTTGCTGTGTGAAAAGATGAGAATCCTGTCATCGGAAGATATTTAATGTTGTTTTATTAATGTGGAGGATTGGGGTGTTTGAGTCTTGTTTTGATAACATCTGCAAAAATAACGTCAATAATTGTTTTTTTTTTTCTTCTATAGTGTGTTCTGCATTTATTTATACTGTTTCTGAGGAAAAACCAGTTAATAACAATAATTTGTTATTCAATGATATAGCCAATCATGTTAGGAAATTTTTTAGTGTCCCTGTGAAATCAATCAAAGCTAACAATTGATAGTTTTCAGAGAGAGGTGAATTTTCATTAACAAATTACATATAATATTGCTGATATAACCGCATGTAAATATAAGATTTTGAAGGGGACAGGTTTTCTGGTATGGACTAAAAATGAATATGTAGAAACTTGGTATATTACTCATTTAAACCGCAAACTTCATGCGCTCGAGTAGCTGCATGTGTGAGCTAAGTAGTTTGTGTTATTTCATCCTTTCATTCTTTTTTTATGCCTCATTGGTTATCATGAACAGGAAAGAAAATGTAATCATATCATTTGAAGTAATCCTCTGTATAGGCAAAGGAATAAAGAAAGTGATGGTCTTGAAATACATAGATAAAAGCAACGACTTGCAAGAGTTATATTTCATCGAAATCCTTCAGTTTAATTGGTCTCCACTTGGTCACTACATCTACTGTTAACTTGAACCCAGGTTCTGTATATACATTCCAGATTCTAATTCTCTGAATATATTTGGAATTTCATTATTTGTGAGATCAACAGAACTCCAGTTTAGAAAAGGCCCTACACTAATCATGTATTTGTGTAACAGGTAATAGTACCCTTTTACAAAGGCCAAATTGGTACAGTGGTAAACACGAGCAGCGGGACCTAGCACGGGTCTGAAATTGAGAGGGGAAGACGAGCGTTTCCCAGGCCAGCTACAGCGTCAGATATTAGAAAAGGGGCGCACCCAGGCGGTAGGAAGAGTGGGTTTGGATATATTGAAATTAAAGGTAGGCCATTGGTGAAAAAATTGAATCAGATATTACAACCAACCCCGCGGGATCTTGGGACTCCGATAGATAGCAGACGACAGCGATCATTTAGTGAATAATCACTCAAACTGATCCGCATGCATCCCTGTTTACATAAATCCCGAACTATCCAGCTGAACGTGGCTGGAAAAGACCACACAGCTTATGCGGACAGACACGAGCAGCAGTCAAATACACACACCCTATTTACACTATTAAACTGCTTGAAACACACAGGGGCTCGAGCAGACACATTATATCTACAGTGCACTGGGACCTGTTTATTCCAGTATGCGACCACCTTTTTGCAGCACCACGATAGAAACAGCCTTCTTCTTCACGGTCAGTTATATCTACTTATACCCACTTATCTGTAAGACTTACATGAAAGATATCGCATACCGAAGGTACTGTCGCGCATAGTTTTCCAGGGTCCTCTATTTTTATCTCTATCTCCCCTAGTACACATTTCCGGCCGTCGAGAGCGTAAGTCGCACACCCATCACCTCTCTCACGAGAGACTTACAACATTTCACGCGAGCGATAATGATGGACAAGGCATCACATACAGCTACAGAGTTCAATTGAGTCTGTGAAGCCCGATCCAACTTTGAAGAGCTTAGGAGGAGGGCCTCACAACAGAGCATTCATAGTCAGACCATCGGCTAATGTTATTCTTTTGAATCATGTAAGAAGGAAAACCGCCACGATATGATAGCCCAGAGTTAATCATGCATATGTGTGCCTATTGGAGAGAATATTTAGAAGAGAGGGAAATATCGGACACTTCGTTCAAGAGCTGAGGAGATTGTTAGAAATCGTGCAAGGAGAGGACGGTAGATATTTTGCGTGAGCAGTTGGTAGAGTATTCTGCTATTTATCAAGCTATTATCTACGAGAATTCATGAAGAGGGAAATCCGGTGCGATATTTTAGAGCCAGGGCAGTTTTGAAATTGGACAGCAAGAACAACATAACCATAACATTAGAGAAAGGAGCGTCTGTTTCACACATGTAGAAATTGTGCTATCCATATATATTTTGCAATTCCGTTAATGTTTCACACATATACGTTGTCTTATCTCTGCGCGAACAATATGTGACAATACTAAGAGTTACGAATAACAAAATAATGGTTGTAGAGATGATTTGGGAAGTAGAATCGAGCCCGTGCGAATATCGAGAATGATCCTCTAAATTGAAACACATTCAGTAAGACCATATGTCTTGTACACGATAATTTTGAGATCATTTAATTATTATAAAAATAATTCGACATATTATAACACCATAAGGAGAACAGTAAAGATAAGAATAAAGAATAAAAAAGTTCAATACCAAATTTACAAATAAATTATATTAGGGCTTTATTAAAACCAGAAAGTACTAGGCTTAAATATATACGTAAATAAATCACAACTGATATATAACATTTCTTTAATGAGAGAAATCTACATAAAGAATGATAAGTTCACAACCATACATTCACGACTAAGATACTAAATTATTCATATAGGCTTTAATAATCTATTGTGTGAGGTCAAGCTGTAGTAGTTGTGTGATACAATAGTTCTTGGGTGCGTTTGGGTGTGTAGATGGTGTGTGGTGTGTGTGTTGTGTGTGGTTGTGTGTGTGGGTTGTGTGTGTGTGTTGGTGTGTCGTGTGTGTGAGTGAGTTGTTGGTGTTAGGTCAGGATCAGATTCTGGACTCACCCTATATATCACCTATCACAATACTACATAATAAGTTTTATGAACTATTAGTAGATCCAACTATTCATCCTGTTATAAATAATATTGTGTTTCGATCTCATTCTATGATACATGCATTTTTTAAAGATGGTAGAGCGCCCCCACTCCCTACCCATTACCATGATTTAAGTGATCATATTATCTGGAAAAGAGACAAAAGCAATCTTCATAGCTTCACATACAGTATCTACTTGAGAAGTCAACTGTTATTAACTAAAATATTGACTTTTATTAAATATAACTTAGATGTTAAATGTTATAGATGGTTACTAAAATGAGAACTTAAGTACTAATATCTAAAATATTCACATTATATACTGATGTTATATTAAATTAATGACATATAAAATAATTAAACATGATATAGGTTAGTTTTAACCAATATGAACATATGACATTAACTCAGTATTTACTTTTAAAACCTAATAAAAGTTGATATGTAAAAGGATTGAGGAAAGAAGTCAAGTCTTGAACTTGATAATAAGGGATTCATGTTTATTTATATATATATTAATAATATATATTTAATATATATTATATATAATATATATTTAATTAATATATATATATATATATATTATATTAAAATATAATATTATATAATATATATAATACTATTAATATATAAAAATAATATATATATAATATATATATTATATATATATACACAACACCACAATCGATGAACAAAAAATATTTACCAAGCAAACTAAAAATATAATTATAAAGTCACTACCAGTACCAAGATAGATTCCAGGGATATATCTGGCTCGTACTACCAACACTATATATCATCTCTTACGTATTAGATCTAGATACACAGATTCTTGTTCTCGTATCATTTACCCATAACCATATTTCCACTCATTGATCTAATTATTATACGGTCAATCATAGATCACTGCTTAATAAACTGAGGAGGTGAGAACAAAATTTAAACGATCATTACACAGCATTAATTCAACTACTGAAAATACAAGAAAATTTATCTCATACCGCTTAATTACTAGAAAGTAACTAGAATTGAGAGTCCATTCATTACATCCTACTAACTTCTTAGCCTTTGCATAGTCACGAACACATATGTACTGCGTATTACTAGAAAACATTGCAAGATTTGAAAATCTACGAGAGAGAGTAAAATATGACATATGGCCTTGATAATTATGTTACTCCTAATAATACAATAGATCGAGTATATACC